CACAATAAAAATGATAAAAAAAAAAAAAAAAAAAGATAACTGTCTTCGAAACCATATGGGGACATTCTACCCTGCCCTATAGGTTTGCTATGAGTTAGAATTGACTCAATGGCAATCAGTGGGTTTGGTTTGGGATCTGGTTTCTTCATGCTGAGCCTGGACAACCTCATGACTGCATGTACATTAAGCATAGCCATTTTACTGCCTCTTACGTCAACCTTGCCATAGAACCCCGTCTTAGCTTTACTCTGAGCCTAAACCCCCTCATGGCCCTGTGAGCCCAGACAACTTTGTGTTCCATCCTGGACTCTGGCATCTGCTGTCCTCCCAGCCACCCCCAAGCTTACGTTCCAAGCTGTCTCTGCTCACCCCTGTCCCCAGAAAGGACCTGGAAGAGCTGGTAGTCGCGGGCCCAAGGCTGGACCACATTGTGCTTCTGCAAGGCTCGCTGTACCACACTGGGGGCCTTGTCCTGACTAGTGAGCTGGGAAGGTGAGGCAGAGGTGAGATGAGAGACGACCATGCCCAAAAAGAGAGCTCCCCCAGCAAGCCCCCTCCCCAGCCTCTCACCAAGATGCTCCGATACAGGTTCCCATGGTCATTGTCGATGCTGACGCGGATGACACGGGCCTCTGAGCTCTGCTGTCCCAGGAGGGGGATGTGAGGGCTGCTCAGGGGCAAGGCCAGGGCCCAGGGGCCTGGCAGGTCTGGACTCAGGGGCAGCTGTAGGCCGGGGTGGGGTGGAGTGGGTAGAGACTGCAGCCTGGCCCAGCAACCGATACTGAGGGTTGGGGCCCACCCCCACTTATGTATCTAACAGGCCTGTGTTTTCAATCCCATGTACACAAAGACCATGCGACCCCCTACATATCCCCTATACACAAGCCCACATACATGCCATTCCATTACACACAGACCTTGATTCCCTATTACATGACAAATGTACAAATGACCAATATACACATAAGCCCAAGTTCACACACAAGGAATCCCATGTATATAAGAAGCAGTGCGTATGCACATGCTCACAGTGGCTGGATGTGTGTACACTGTTCAGCATACTTGGTCCCACCAATATCCATGCCCACACTTCTCTTTAGATATGCAGATTCCTGGGTGCACATGTGACCTTGCAAAAGTATGAGGTTGTATACCCCAGGGTGCCCTGTGGGTGGCAGATGAACAGGTCCCAAATTGTGCCCAAGCTCAGCCAACCATCATACAGTCACCATGCCTAGGCCCTCAATCCCGTGGACACATGTGTGCACACATGTATGTACATGTGCATGCACATGTGATCCACATCCCTCAGTGTCCACAGTCCTATGCTCACACACAGGCAGTTGGTACCTTGGTGCTGGGGCCTCGGGGCCCTGGTGAAGCTGGGGGACTGCCAGGAGGAGGATCCTTGGTTCTAGGGCTGGATGGGGGGGAGCTTGGGGACAGACTGGGACAGAGGGAGAGTCTGAGGTGGGGTGGCTGCCCCACCCACGCCCCTGCTGTCTCCAGTCTCTCCCACCGAGTGAAATCCTCACCTGGAGGTGGGGGACGAGGGATCCCCAGGGCTCCCACCTGGGGATGAGCCTTTCTCTCGGGACAGCTTCCTGAGGATGGGGACAGGGCATGAGGCTGATGTTAGACCCAGCCGAGGAGCAGCCCCTGCACATCTCTGCCCACATCACTGCCCACATCCTGAGACTCACGCACTGAGACGCTTGGTGAGGCTGATATGCCGCCGGACACGTGGGGAACTGGGGCAGGAGGCAGCTGGCGGCTCAATGACGCGGGAGATACGATAACTGAGAGGTCGAGGGGTAGATGAATGGCAGGTTGGGGCCAGGAAGCAGTAAGTGATGAAGAGTAGGAGATGAAGAGTTAGCATCGGTTTGGGGTTAGGATTTGGGAGAGGCATCAAGCATCAGGGTCAGGGTATCAAATGAGGGTCAATGATGGCCTCAAAGTCTTATTAGGGTCAGGGATGGGATGGGCTGATTCGGTTAGCAGGCCACATGGGGACTCAAACGAGACTGAGAAGTCAGTTGGGTCAAGGGTCAGACTGGGGTCAGGTAATCACTAAGGTCAATGGTTAGGGTCATAGAGTCCATGGAATGAAAGGGAACAATTGGAAGAGCTGAGTTGGATGGTCCAATAAACATCAAAGTTTAGAGCCAGCAGTGGAGGTGAATGACGGGGTTTAGCTTTGGGGGCCATGAATGAGGCCATGGGTAAGATAAGGTCAGAAGCTGGATAAGAGGACAGATGGGACAGTTGAGTTGAATGGCTAGATGAATGCCAAAGGTTGAAGTCACAAAGTCTGACAGGGTCAGAGGTTGATTGGAGCCCTCAATGAGGCTGGTGATAATGGAAGCTCACAGGTTGGGGATCAGGACTCAAGAGGGGCTCTTAGGAGGAGCTGGAGAGGGCCACATGGTAAGCAGGATTGTGTGTGTAGTGCAGAGCCAGTGTGTGGGGGGGGACACCAGGCCGCAGTGATCACCTCTGCTCTTCGCTGAGCTGGCGCTGGGCACGCAGGGCGGCCAGAAGAGGCAGGCAGGGGCTCAGGCGGTAGCTGCGACAGCGTTTCTGCAGCTGCTGGACGTGGGCCAGGATCTCCCACTCCTAAGGGGGCAGCCTCTGAGACCCCACCCTGCTGTGCCCTCCCACCCTCAGGCACCCTGCACACCCTAGTGCCCACTCACCTTCCTCCTCTTCTCAAAGTTGATGAGGTCCCCCTGGGCATGAGACAAAGTATGTCTGAACTAGAGATGCCAGGGTCAAGGGACAATGGTCAGGGTTGGGGCTGGGATACTAGGAGGCTGACTGAGCTAAGGGGAAGGGAAGCTGGGTCAGGAGGCAAAGGTCAGGGGTCAGACCTCCAGCGTGTCCGGCAGGGCCGTGTCCAACATAACCAGGTCCGTGAGGAAGGTACCGAGGTAGGGGATAGGGCCTGGGGGCGGCTTCTGCAGCCCCCAGAGCTCCAGTCACTCTCTGTCATCAGTGGCTCCCTCCCATCAGCCCCCCTCCCTCCCTGAAGGTCCTGCCTGTCCCTCATCCCAAACTGCATCACTCACGGAGGACAGGCTTCCTGGGGGAGCGTCTTCCTCTTGGGGTCCCTCAGTGGCCTCCTCCTGGGGGAGAGGAAGGATTGAGAGAACCCACGCTCTCCTTTGATTTCCTCCTCCAGGGCAGAGCCTTGAGACCCACCACACACACCCATTTTGCTTTCAGCAATCATAGGACATTGTAAAGGCCAAGCCCAAGGAGCTGGACCATCCTGAGGAAAAGTGACCAGAGGGAGGCAGGGAGCAGGTCAGGAGCAGTGGGAAGGCCCTACTGGGGATCATGGGAGGTGGGGTTCATGATGCCAGGACAGGAGAAAATCCTGTGCCTGGTCTGGATGGAACAGGCCCACCGAGAATGATCTGGAAACACCCTAGATCTTGTCTTCAGAGTTTTGCTCTGCCTGGTAATTACAGAATTTCTGGGGCAGCTGTCATGGTACTGAGCCACGTAGGGCAGGAACAGAGTCTGCCTGGTTCATGGTGGAACCTCCTGGAATAGTGCCTAACACACAGAAGATGCTCAGTGCAGGACTCCTTGTTGTTAGAGCCCTCATTATCTCAGTCATTTATCCACTAACAGGTATTTACTCAGCACCTACTATGGGCCAAGGAGCTCTGGTGGCATAATGCCTAAGGCATTTGACTGCCAACCAGAAGGTTAACGGTTCAAACCCACTGGCTGCTCTTTGGAAGGAAGATGGGGTAATCTATTTCTGTAAAGATTTACTGCCTCAGAAACCCCATGGGGGTCGCTATGAATTGGAATTGACTCGATGGCAGGGAGTTAGATTTGGTTTTGTTACTATGGGACAGGAACCATTCTGTGTGCTGGGGGCCCAGCAGTGGACAAAACAGACATCAATCCCAGGCTCCTGGAGTGGACAGTAGTAGAGGCACAGGCAACAACTCTAACAGCACGCAGACCTAAGGGCACTAGCTGGGTGGAGACAATGGGGGACTCTGGGAGCACCACTCTGCAGTGGAGTATTTGTTGCAATTACAACCAAAGTCTTGCCTGCAATAAACCAGACTTGGCACACCTTCTCTTGTTTTACTTATCAAGGTGATGTTCCCAGCACAATATTTTTCTCCCCCGACTATATACTATGGCTCCGGTCTTAAGCAACCTTTTCCTTGTGACTTCTTGTGCTTGTTGAATGAATACACAAGGCAGTCACTGAGTGAGCTATCATGGAGGCAGTGGAGGCAATGGAGCTGCCCCCATACAAAGGAAAGGTCATTCTTGAAGTACAGGGAAAGAATGCTGGGTGTTAGGACAATGACGAGGCCGATGCCCTGCCGGGACCCTGGTCATGTTTCTGGGCCTGGAATCCACGCGAGAGTCTGTCTGCACCTGAGAAAGAATCTCTCTGCTGCTGAGGTGGTTGTTCTCATCCGAGAAAATCTGGGAAAGTTTCCTGAAAGTGGATAACGGCTCCCTGGGAAAGCAGAGAGAAATCAGGGGTCAGAGGTTGGTGGCAGAGTCAAAGCTGGGGTAGGGTGGGGAGGAGGTCCCACGGCAGCAGCCCCCTGCTCACCGGCTCACGGCGCCCCAGCTGCGCTTGAGCCTGTAAATAGGGTTAGACTGCAGGGCAGACAGGATGGCGCGCAAGGAGGAGAAGTTCCGCAGTTCCCGGCAGCGCTGGGGGGCCAGATGGTGGCGCTAGTCAGACCCTATGTCTGACCCTCAGGCAACTTTCATCTTTGACCCCATGACTTCTGACCCCTACATTTTGCCCCACATCTGACAAAACTACCAAGTCTAAGCCTCCTCCATCGAATATACCCTCCCCTCTTGGTCTCCATCTCTCCCCAGCTTACACCTCCGACCTCGATTTCTCCTCTCTCAGACCCCTACCTCTCCCCAGGTCCCAGGGCCCTAGACCGGCCCACGGCATCTCTCGAGCCCAGACCACTCCTCGGTGACGGTGAACCACACACTCCCTTCCTCACTACTCCTCCCATTCCCCTCTTAACGCGCTTGCTTGCTCGCTCGCTCGCCGGCCCACCCTCTGCTCACTCCTGGGCATTTCTCTCACTCTTTCTTCCTGCTCAGAGGCTGCTGTTCCGCTCCACTAGTTTCTTTCAGGATCTCCGCCCTGCCGGGTGTTGAGCTTTGGTTCTTCCCCCAGTCCTACTCCCCCCCCCCCCCCCCCTAGAGGCGACCCAGCATCCCTCTGCAGTCCCGGCCCCACCTCTCGCCTCTTCCTGGAACTGTGTAGGTCAGCCTTCCACCGCCCCCAACTCCGCCTTCCGTCTTCCCAGCCCAACACTCACCTGGGCAATGTGGATCCACTTCTCCAGCCGCTGCGCCCGCTGCTGGGCGGCCAGGCCTGGCACCCCGAGCACCGAACCCAGCACGCAGCCCGTTACCAAGTTGAACTGGGCCACGGTGGCGCGCACCGTCGGGGCGGTGCCGGCGGCCCCGGGCCGGTCCCGCTGCGACCACACGGAGCCTAGGCACTCGCAGGGCCGAACACGTGAGAAGAGCTTCTGGGCGGGGCGGGGAATAGGGCGAGCTCAGTGGGGCCTACCCCTAACCTCGGCCCCACCCCCACCCAGGTCCAGCGCCCTCACCACATCCATCAGGGTCAACTGCTCGGCCACATCGTCCACGCTGAAATCCAGTAGCTCGGGGCCTTCCTGCAGGAATCCTTCCTCCTCTTCCACGCAGCCCTCCGGGGAGTCTGGGCCCGGGTTCTGGGCACATGCAGGAGGTCCTTAAGGAAGAATGGATGATGGGTAAATACACCCAGGATCTTTGGTGGCTCAACAGTTAAGTGCTTGCCTGCTAACCAAAAGGTTGGCCATCGGAACCCACCCAGTAGCTGCGTGTGCAAAATATCTGGCAATCGGTTCTGGTAAAGATTACAACCAAGAAAACTCTATGAAGCCGTTCTACTCTGTCACATGGGGTCGCGACCTAACAAGAGCAAACCCCTTGAACTTTGAATCTCAGGACATAACATTAAACTTCACTGAGCATTTAGTGTGAATTAACTCTGTAACCTAGCACATGAACCCAGAAAGGGAGGTACTATTATTTATTTACAGTCTACAAGTAGCATAGTGCCTAAGGCACTTGACTGCTAACCAGAAGGCTGGTGGTTCAAACCCACCAGCCACTCCTCGGAAGGAAGGTTGGGCAATCTACTTCCGTCGTGATACTGCCTTGGCAACCTAAGGAGGGGTGGCTATGAGTCGGGGCCGACTCGATGGCACACAACAACAACAACAACAGGTGGAAAAACATCAAAACCAAACCAAACCCATTGCCACCGAGTGGATTCTGACTCATAGTAAACAATCCCCATTGGGTTTGTGGGGTGGTGAATCTTTACAGAAGTAGATTGCTCCGTCTTCCTTCCTTGACTGGAGTGACTGGTGGGTTTGAATGGCCAACTTTCTGGCTAACAGTCAAATGCCTTAGGCGTCGTGCCTCCAGACCTCCTTACAGGTGGAGAAACAGGCACAGTACAAATAGCCCAGATCACACTTTCGTAAATGGCAGAATGGGGATCTGAAGCCATGGGACAGTAAGTTTTCAAAGACTGGAGTAAAAAATACCAAGTTTTATGATTTCAAACCTGTTTTAGGATAAGATTCATCTCCCCTCTTCTCTTGGGAGAGATGGTATAACTTCGTAGTTAAAGGAAGACTGTTGTCAGCTAGTCCCAAATTCAAAGTATGGCTTGTCCACTCAGCTTGCTGTGTAAACTAGAGCAAGTCTTTTAACTTGTCCTTGGTTTCTTCATCTTTTTTTTTTTTTAATGAGATCATTCATATCAACTGCTATAAAGTGGTCAATAGTTGTGATTTTCACCCCAGTGAGTTTCAGTGGAGGCCCCCCCACCCCCAGAGGGCCATGTTGGAAGGTTCTGGATTTGTTTTTGGTTATTCCAAGATGAGGGGCAGGACTCTGGGGGACTCAACTTTGTGGTGGCTAGACCAAATGTCCCTGAAGACATTCACATCATTAAAAAACCTCTTTACAAGTCATCTGTACCTACAACTTAACCATTTTGCTCATAAAAACAAACCATGAAAGGATTTTGTTTTGCTTAGAATTTTTAAGTATTATTCACCATTTCGGAAAACAGTGTCACCATCTTGTTTGCTGCTGTGTCTGAGTAGTCCCTTCACACCCTTGTATTAGTCAGTGTTTGTGGGTGTCACGCTCACTGTGAAGCTCTGACAGCCAAAGGCAGTGGCCACCTTCGTTGTGCCTCCTAGTGAGGCAGGCCCAAGCAGCAACATACCAAAAAGCATAGCTTAGTGTTGTGTAGGAAGGAGCTCTCGTAGCATAGTGCCTAAGGCATTTGACTGCTAACCAGAAGGCTGGCAGTTCAAATCCACTACTTGGAAGGAAGGTTGGGCAATCTACCTCCGTAGTGATACTGCCTCAGAAACCCAAGGAGGGGTCACTATGAGTCGGATCCGACTCAGTGGCATATAACAGCAACAACAGTGTTGTGTAAGGTACTTTCATTTTATTTCTCCTTCACATTATAGTAATGACATCATGTTATTTTTTTAAGTGATCTTTTAAATGATCTATCTTTCATTTCAGATTAGGACAGGTACTTAGCATTGCAAAATATAGTTTTAAGAAAATGGGTTATGGGCAAAATTAAAGGATAATGTAGAATCTGCAAAACACTGCATAATGTGGATGAACTTGGAGGACATTATGCTGAGTGAAATAAGTCAATCACAGAAGGACAAATATAGTATTAGTTCATTATTGTAAAAAAGTCAAGGAAAGGTTTATATATGGAAAGAAACTTTCTTTTGTTGGTTACCAGGGGTCGAAGGGGAGGGGAAGGAACACTGTAAAAATAAAGAAAAATAATAATTAAAAAAATTAAATGATTTTTTTTAAAATGGGTTATAGGGGGGAAAATGTATACCTAAATCTAACCAAAACTTTAGATCTTACAGCAAAGATAGGGGAAAGAGAACCAAATGCATGACACCATGAGGAAGCAAACAGGCAAATCCAGAATGTGGAATATTCCTTGAGACAAATGATGCTTTTCAAAATAATAACAATAATAATAATGGCATTAAACAAAAATATGAGGGAGGACTGTTAGAGAATAAATGAGGCCTAAGAGGCAAACTACCAAATGCCTTGAGTGAAGCATCTTTGGTCCCTGATTTGAAGAAATGATTGTAACGGGACATTTGAGAGACAATGGGGAAATGTGAATACAGACTGGGTGTTTTTGATATTAAGGAACGATTGCTGTTTTGATAGAAACTTATGGGCATGAAAGTCATATAAAACATCAAACAAAGTCCTTGTTGATTAGAGGCACAATGAAATTTGGAATTTACTTTAAAATCCTCCTGGAAAATAAACAAACTTGCCAAATTGATCATTATTGAAGACGAGTAAAGGATGTCTGAGAGTACTATTCTATTTTGGTATGTCTGGAATTTTCTATAACAAAAAATAAACCTGGATGAATATATATTAAAATGTCACAGAGTTTGGCACACAGTAGGTATTCAACCAATGTTCATTTTCTCCCCTGACCTCAAAGAACTGAGCATAGGATAGCACTTTCTCGAGAACTTTCTGCGATGATGGAAATGTTCTGTCTCTGCACTGTGGTCACCACCAGTCTCAGGAGGCAACTGAGCCCTTGAAATGTGGCTGCCGTGACTGAGGAACTTAATTTTTATTTTTATTTTAGTTCATTTAAATTCAATTTTAATAGCCACATGGGGCTTGTGGCTACCACATTGGATTGTTAATCTCTAATGATTTGGAATAAGATGATGATGAATCTTGAAAGCAGGAGGAGAAAGACACAGTAACAAGGAAGGAGAAGGGTGGATAAAAATATACAAATAGCTGGGATTTACCACCAGGAATAAAGACATGGCTGCTACTTTGTAAAAGGGAAAGGAATGTGGCTACTTTAATCTGAGGATTAAAGGATGGGGATTAGGGATCTAGAAGCTTTTGTAATAGGGATCGGATCAAACACAGATGGCTGAGAGATGATACGTTATAAGCTGTTGGCACACTGAGGGCTGACCCCTGAGCCAGGAGGGAATCATTCAGTCAACAAAACTGAGTTGTTCCTGCCCCTGGAGACAGAGTGGAGACAAGAAGGATGTGGCCCTGTTCTTGTCTAGTCTACAAGGCAGATGAGCAGAAACTAGAACTGAAGAAAGTAAAGTATGGTGACACAGAAAAATAAGGCAGAGCGAGAGAACACAGGGTAGGAGGATATTTTTGCTGAAGGAGTCAGGGAAGGCTTCTCTGAGGAGGTAACATTTGAACAAAGACCTGAGTGAAGTATATGGATATGTCCCTGTCTTGGTTCTCCAGTGCTGCTGCTATAACAAACATGTCACAAGGGGCTGGCTTAACAAACAGGGATTTATTCTCTTATAGTTTGTTGTTGTTGTTGTTGTTGTTATGTGCCATCGAGTCAGACCCAACTCATAGTGATCCCTCCTTGGGTTCCCGAGGCAGTATCACTAAGGAAGTAGATTGCTCCATCTTCCTTCCAAGGAGTGGCTGGTAGGTTTGAACCGCCAGCCTTCTGGTTAGCAGTCCAGTGCCTTAGGCACTATGCTACCAGAGCTCCTCTCTTACAGTTTAAGAGGCTATAAGTCCGAGTTCAAAGTGCCAGCTTCAGGGCCTGGGCAAAGGCCCGCTGACCTTGAGCTTCAGCTCTGCCTCTTGTTCCAGGCTCATTAGAGCTGGAGACTTTCTCTGACTCATGCAGCTGCTGGCTGCTAAGGCTGATGAACCCAAGATCAACAAGTAAAATGGCACAGTCCTAAGACTAGCAGACCACAGGCCACTAGTTCAAGTCCAGGAACAATCCCAAGGTCAGCAGGCAACATGGCAGGCCACTGACATGAAGACTTGGCCAAATATAGGATCCAGAAGTGCCAAAAACTAGAGACCTCTCCCAAAGCTTCTCCATATATACTGGGAGCAGGCCACCCTAAAGGCAACATCTTAGTTGCTCACAGCAGAGTCCATCAGGGAGGTGATTACAATCTCATCATGGCAAATAATTACAATCCAGTTGCCCAGCCACTCAAAACCATGGCCAAGCCAAGATGACACACAACTTTAACTACCACAGCCCCCATCCCCAAAATGCTCTACAATAGCAAAATTCTTTTGTAAAGGGTCAGATAATTTGCTGGCACTACTGGGCAAGAAAGTATCGATATGGCTTCTTGTACATGTTTTATTATAAATAGTAGACATCTAATAATTTAGAATAAGAGTTAACAACAAACAAAAGTAATACTATTTCCCAAGATATTGTGCCAAGCCCTTACTGTTTATTTACTTGTTTACTGACTGTCTTTCTCACAGAACTATGAGTTCTTGTCCATCATTACATGCCAAGAGCTTGTTGTTGTTGTTGTTGTTATGTGCCGTCGAGTCGGCCCTGACTCATAGTAGCTACGTATTTGTTGAATGAATGAAGAGCCCAATGAGGTAAACACTATTATCACCCCCATTTCACAAATGAGGAGACTGAGGCTCAAAGAGGTGACTTATTCAAAGTCACACAGTCAGGAAATGGCAGAGCTGGGATTTGAACTCAGGTCCTTGTGGCTCCTAAGTAAAGTGGGAATGCTTTGTAGCTAGAAATACAGGGCATCCTACCCAATGGTGGAGTAATTTCGTAGTTAGGATGCAGGGGGAGGGTGCTAGACAAATAAATGCTAATACTTTTGGGAAAAAAAAATGTTATTATTCTCTTTTACAGGAGCTCTGGTAGCATAGTGCCTAAGGCACTTGACTGCTAACCAGAAGGCCGGCTGTTCAAACCCATCAGCTGCTCCTTGGAAGGAAGGTTGGGCAATCCTACTTCCGTAGTGATACTGCCTCGGAAACCCAAGGAGGGGTCGCTATGAGTCGGGGCCGACTTGACAGCACATCACAACAACAACAACGTTCTATTTTACAGGTAAGGAAAACCAAGGCCCAGACAGAGTTAAAGAACTGGCCCAAGGTCTGTAGCCCTGAGAGGCAAGAGAAGGCTCTCTCTCAGAGCCGCCAAGGGTTTTCCAATCTCAAAAATCCCTCACCCTCACCTGCCGCCGGGTCAGGCTGCTCCTCTTCTTCCTGCTTCTGCTCAGCCTCCTCCAGGAAATCTCTCAGCAGCCTCTTTGCCTCCCTGGCCTCAGCTCCCCCTGGGGCTGCCCAGCTCAGAAAGGTGCAGATGCTGCCCAGGTCAGAGTGGGCAGGGGGGTCACAGAAGTCCCGAGGGTGGTCCCGCAGCCAGGAGCCCAGCACGCATACCACAGCCCTGGCAAAAAGGGGTGGGGCCTCAGAGCCCAGGCCTGAGCTCTTGACCTCATCTGCCCAAAACCTCAGATCTGACCTTTCATTAACCCACCTGGACTTCCAGGTTATTCAAACCTGTAAACCTCAGGCTGACCTTTGACCTCCAGGATCTCCACCACCACGGGGAAGGGGGACGACCCACCTCAGGTTCTTATTGAAGTTCAGATCTTGTCCTTCCGCCTTCTTGATCTCTACCCTGGGAAGAGCCCCCTTTCAATCAGATGATGAAGAGGGGATGGCAAGGGGCTTAGGAGAACGGCTAAGTTTGAGGAGCTCCGGGTTTAAAACCTGAGGAGGGCGCGCAGGTGGGGATCTAGGTCTGGGAACATGGAGGTCCAGGTAGATACTGACCCCGACGGCAGCGGCGGCGGCGGTGGCGGTAGCAGAAGGCCCAGTACGCGGGCGGTGGGCACAAAAGCCCGGTGCGTGGCCAGGAAGGCGGGCACGAAGCCCGGATCCTGCTCGCGGTCTCCAGACACCAGCTCGCGCACCAGCCGCTCCAGCCGCGCCGCCCTCAGAGCTCGCACCTTGCTCGTGCGGTAATAGAGAAAAGCATCGGCCGTGGGCCTGGGAGCCTGAGGGGAGGGACAGCGGTGAGAGACCCAAGCGGGGTGGGGCCCCTCGAACACCCCTTCTCCAAGCACCGCCCCTGCATCTGATCCTGGCTCTTCCTCTGGGCCACTGGGTTCACTCTTTTTGCCCCGTCCACAAAGCATTCTTCCCCCCACTTCGTTCTCCCAGGTCCTGCTCTCTGCCTCCACCCCCCTTGGTCACCCTCAGGCTTCCCAGCCCTGCAGCCCAGCCTCACGGAGCTACTCGTTCGTCGGCCCTGCCTTCCGCCCCTCCCCTCCTTCACCTGCCGCCTCGAAACCCCACCCCTCCCTCCGGTTCTGCCCCACTAAGCCTGGCTTTCCCAGGCGCGGCCGTCCAATTCCGCCCTTACCAGGTTGCCTCCAGGTTCCGCTCCGCAAGTGCTCCATCCCCCCCACAGGCGCTGCCCCGGTCACCTGGCCGCCCCTAGGCCCCTTCCTACCCTTGACTGGTCACCTTTAAGCCCTGCCCTTCCCCCTCCCACCAGCTACATCTGGCCGCCCAAGCTGCGCTCTCGCTCACCTGTTTCTCCCAGGGCCCTCCACGCAGCCCCGCCCTCACCTGGCCGCGCCACCCTCCAACCCCTTCCTCACCTGGCCGCCCGCGGGCCTCTCCCCCAAGCTCAAGCGCTGACTGCGCTGCCGCCGCAGGGAGACGCTGTACACCGCGCCCTCCTCAGTCTCCTCGCCCCAGTCCTGAAGCGGCGCCTGGACGCGGAGGCGGGCTCAGGGTACCCCGAGGGGATGGACCCGGGCACACCGGCGCCCCCTCACCCTCCTGGACTTAGAGCCAACCTTCCTGCTCGATTGCCCCCGCTCCAGGCCCAAGTCTGCAGAACTTGGGGCAGGATCCCAGGCTAGAGACGTCCCCTCTGCGCCTGTCAGGGCGCATGTCTGAGGCCATGGAGTGGGTTTGGGGAACGTCCCAGGACCCAGGTTCACCAAATCAGTCTCCATCCGCTCCCCCAGACTTGCTCCGGGCTCCCTGTCCCCATCCCCAAAAGTAACCAACCACTTCCAGGGTTAGGGGCCTGATATCTGGGGGTGGGGAGTCCTGGGAGGTTCCGAACAGTCTGATGGCGGTTGAGTGGGGGAGTAAGGGTCTAAGGGGCGATGCCTGGAGTTCCTGGACCTCCGGGTCGCCAGGGATGTGGGGTCCCGGGTCCTCAGCCCCTTACCAAGGCGAGCTCCTTGCCTGCTGTCCGCTCCATGGCCCGCGCCCGTCCCGTTCCGCTGCTGACTGAAGCGGAAGGGCTGGAGGGCAAGCGGCGGGCAGCGGCGGGCCGCTCGGGCCTGGCGGGGCGGGGCGGGGCAGGGCGGCCGGACTGCCGAGGGAGGGGCGGGGCGGGAGAAGTGGCCCCGCCAGACCTGAGCACCCAGCCCAGGCCAATGGGACCTGGTCTAGTAGGTGTGTGTGTCAACCTGTCCTCGGGAGAAAGGACGCATCTCTTTTAGGACAGAGCTTTCTTCTGGGTCGCTAGGTGCAGGGGACTTAGCGTGCATAGCTACTGGGGGGCAGGTGTGTGTCTCAGACTGCTAGTCCTGTGTCCTCAGCTGAGGAGGGCTAATTTGACCCAGATGTGAAAGTAACTCCCATCTTTTGGGGGAGGGCATTATCTGATTTTGAGGGGCAGACAGCTCTTGGCTGGTACTGGGTCAAACAGCCAGTTGCCAGGACTCATGGAGACCCTATGTGTGTAAGAGATGAACCGTCCCCCATTTGCTTTTCCACGGAGGAGTTTTTTGAAAGTCGATCTCCAGGTCTGTCTTCTGAGGGGTGTCTGGATAGACTCAAACCTCCAACCTATCAACTAGCCTATCAGCTAGGCACTAACGTGCATCATTTGCAGCACCCAGGGACTCTGGTACTGGGTCAAGGAAAGGGAACTACCCAAGGGACTGCTCGGTGACCTTTATTGCCCGATTCTGAGGCCGGCGGCCCCGCCTGGGAAGATTTACTGTGGGAACATCCGTCCGGCCAGGCCCCCCTCTCCCCTCCTTCCCGTGCTGTTGGCTGGCTCCACAATCTGTACGGGACAGTTCAGCTCTTGAAGGGACCCGTGGGCCTGCGGCTGGGCCCAGAAGCAGTGAGGGCTCCGAGGCGCCAGGTGGACGCCAGTGCCAGTCTAGGACCTCCGCGAGCGACTGCGCCTCTTGCTGCGGGATTCGATGAATTTCTGGGAACGGATCTTGAGTGCCGCACGAGTCACCACGTGGTTGTCGTCGTCCTCACTCTCCTCCTCGTCTGCCAGGGGCAGGGAAGGAGTGAGGGGGGAAGCGAAGGTGTCCAGGTCCCCATTTGCGCTTCTCCTGCCGGCTCCCGCCTCCTCTATTACCCACCCCCATCCGCTTCCGTCTGGGCAATCAGTCTGGCTTCAGACCACGTTCCTCCGCCTGCCCCGCTCCCGTCCCGCCCCTTCTTCCTGCCCGCACTGACCGAAGAACTTGTCCTTGGAACTGACAAGGGGCAGTTCGATGCGGGTGTTGCACAGGGGCAGCCTTCCCTCTAAACTGGCGTAGAACTGGGCGGGCGGAGGCGGGGGTGAGGAGTGTGGGCGGGGCAGGGGCCGCAGGGAAGGTCCCTTCTTCCTTCCTCTCCCCCCGCCCCCCGATTCCGAAATAATCCAGATTGCAAACCCAGACCGAGGCCCAATGCGGCTTTTGTTTCTTTCCCTGGGCCAGCTGCGCCTCTACTTCTCCGCGCACACCTGACATCCTAGTTCCTCATGTCCGCGCAAGGTTTCTCGGGCCCCTCCCCTTGGCCTCTGATGCCAGCCCCCTGCTCCCCCAGCCCCGCCCTCTGGCCTCCAGGGACCAGCCCGCAGCTCAGGCTCACCCTCCGCTTCTCCGCCTCCTCGCGGGTCTCCCGAGGGTCGCGCCGCCCCAGGCCCGGTTCCCTGGTTTCTCCAACCCACCCGCCGCACCGGCAGCCCCGCCCCTGACCTCCAGAACCTTGCCCCCTGACGAGCACCTCGCGATCCGAGACGTGTTCCAACATCACCGGCAGGTCGAGGCTTTCAAGCTGCTTGCACAGCTTCAACAGCTTTTCCTCTACCACGCCCAGCAGGTCTGGCAAGTAGTTAGTGGCGTGGGGATCCAGCTCCTTACCAGCGTAGCGGCTGCCGTCCTGCGGCCAAGGGCGGAGCCGGGTCAGCCCGGGACCAACCTTGGAGGCAAGGGACCCTCCACAGGGGTGGTGCTATCCTGTGTGGGGCCGGGCGGGTGGGGTGGAGACACCCAGGGACACGATCTCTTGAAGAGGAGCAGATATATGAAATGGGTTTCTGCCGCCGCCGGCACAGTGGGGCTTCTAGGTTGAGCCGCTTTAGGATTCGATTGGAGTCTCCGAGGTTTTGAGTGGGGGCAGGGTGGGACTTTTGGCAGCAGCGGGCTTCAGGTGGGCAGGGACTCTGAAATCCTCAGGGAAAGAAATCGCCGACCGCTGACGCCCTGGGGATAGGGCGGGGGCTGGCCTACCACCGTGACGTAGTGCAGCTTGCCGGCCAGTTGCTCGAGGCCCTCCTTGACCAGTTGCATCGCCCGCTTGGTGCGCTCTAGCTGTTGTTGTGCGTCAGTGCGCCGCTGCTCCTCGGTTCTGAGGCACCCCTGAAGCTCGGCTAGCAGCTGCTGCTCGCTTCAGGGAGCGACACAGGCCACCGCTGGAGAGCCCCGACGCGTACTCACTCCCCACGCCCGCCCTGCGTCGCACACTGGGGCCTCACCTCACCAGCGTATGCTCCCCGGAATACTTGAGGCGTTCGAGTTCCTGCTGCAGCCTCTGCTTCTCTTGCTTCAGCCTCACCAGCGTCTCCTCATTCTCCCTCTTGAGGGCCTCCAACTGGGTGAAGGTGTCGCCCTGGGCCAGAAACCGCCGGACCACCGACTGCAGGCAGCCCAGCCCCCAGTCAGAGCCAGAGCCTTGGCGGAGGCACAAAGACACCACTCTGTCTCCTCTCTGGCACACAGGGCAGGTGGCCTAAGCCGGGGGCTATGTGGGACCGTGTGGGGGGGACTCAGGGCTGCGTGCAGCCCCGAACAAAGAATTTTTGCAAGGCCTTTTCTTGTCTTAGGAATTTGTGTCACCCAAAATTAACATGCAGAGTAGTGTGGGTGTAACAGGGAGCACAGCTGCCTTTCACAACCACCGTGACAGCAGCATTCTGGTGCCCAATCTCGCCAGTCTTCAGGGAGACCAACCAGCGGGAATGATCTGCTCACCAGTGCATCCTTCTGCATAGGGGCCTAGCCACAGTGCCCCAAGAGGACCTCAGAGCCCTGGAGCGCCTTGGAGATTGACCTGCAGCCAGGTAGAGGGATGGAGAGCACCCAAAGGGGAGAAACAGGACCAAGGGCCATCCAGACATCAATACTGGCTGGCCAGAACCAGGCACCGCAGGGGGACTTAGAGTAATTTGAGGAGAAGCTGCAAAGCTCAGGATCTTGGGTGCCCAGTCTGAGTGGTACTGGCTGTCTGGTTGTAGATGCTAGAGAACAGAGAGAAACTCCCAGCCTTTGCAAAGCTGACATGCCAGATCCAACGTAAGAGAGAACAAGACAGAAAATAGTAGCCAGTGTAGATGACTAGAGTGAGTTTTGCTGTGAAGTGCAACAGAGAAATGAGGCAGTAACTGGAAGTAGGGAGGGGATGTCCTTTAAGAAGATAGCAGGTTTGTGTGCTAAGGAATAGATCCAGTTGGGAGAGGAAGTGAGGTATATGAACTTCCTGGGGGGACTCTCCAACACGTTGGCATCCTAGGCCTGGGCACAGCTCTGGCATGCTCCGTGGCAGGGCGGGCTGTGGGCAGCACTTACGTGTGTGTCGGCCACACCAGTGGCGTCCTTGACCTTGTCGAAGATCACTTCCATCTGGTACATGTTCCAGCGATGCCACAGCTCCTCCTTGGCTTGCAGCTTATCCTGGGTCATGTCCTCGGACTGCAGCAGCATGTGCTCACGCTGGGTCTGCTCATGGGTTGAGGTCAAAGCCAGGGTCAGACCCTGACAAGGGGTTAGCACAAAGAATGGGGAGGGTATCCGAACTGGGTCAGGGAGAGGGTGGGCTAGGAGAGGCTTCACAGGGAGAAGGGGGCCACATAAGGGCACCATGGGAGGAGTCAGGCATGTGAGAAAGCTTAGGGGGAGGAGGGAAGGGACAGCGGAGGCAGGTTGTAGGGGTTAGAAGCAGAGTCAGATTTGGCAGGTGGTGGGAGCTCTGGTAGCATAGTGCCTAAGGCACTTGACTGCTAACCAGAAGGCTGGTGGTTCAAACCCACCAGCCACTCCCTGGAAGGAAGGTTAGGCAATCTACGTCCATAGTGATACTGCCTCGGAAACCCAAGGAGGAGTCGCTATGGGTTGCATCTGACTTCACAGCAATAGTTGCGTTTATGGTGGAATCAAGAGGAGGCTTGGGAAGAAGCCTACTGACTGGGAGAGCTAGAAGCAAAATGAGGCAGTGAGGGGCAGGGCCAAGGATATGGGAGGATGCCATGCACAGACAGCAGACTGGCAGTGGAGGTGGAGTCAGAGTGGAGGTGAGGTCAGGAGCAGCAATAGTCGCGAAGAGTCTCTGGTCTGGACCAAACTAGGGGCGTGGGTGAGGCAGCGCACTTGCAGCTGAGGGCTGGGCCCTGGTCGCACCCACCTTTCGTTCCATGCGCTCATTCTGCAGTTTCCTCTCCTCTGCTCGCTTCTTGCACTCGGTTATGTAGCGCTCACGCTCCTTGCGCTCTCGGTACACCGTCTCCTCTAGATATTGCAACTGATTCTGCAGAGTGGGCAGGGAAGCCGGGGACTGGCTGGTACTGACTGCAGCTCTGCGCTGGAGCCCTGGGCCCAGTCCCTAGCTGGCTGGCCCATGCCGCAGGATCCTGAGAGGTAGATGGGAAGGGTCCAGGAGCAGTTGGGGATCAGATTCCAGGGCTAGGAGCCCAAGGGAGTTGGATAGAACACCCGGGGGCCAGCGAGCAGCGGGCACCTTGGCGATGTTCCTGGCATTGAGCGCCTCCTGGTTCACCAGGTGCAGCTCTTCCAGCTCATGTTTCGTTCGCACCACCTCAGCCTCCATAGTATCCAGCCGGTTCTCCAAGTTAAGGCTCTCCTCCTGGAGATGGGGCAGGCCTGTGACTGGGCTGTCCCCATCCAAGCATACTCTTCTCATAAACCTCCCCACCCCCGGGCCCCCAAGAAGACCTAGACCCCACCTGCAGATAGGCCTTGAGCTGCAGGTACACACTGGTGATGTGTTCCGCCTCTTCCGCCTTCATCCGGGCCTTTTCTAGGCGGTTTTCCAGGTTTCTCATGGTCTAGAGGCAACACGCATGGGCTGAGTACACTGCCCACTCCATTGCACCACCAGGTCCCTGCCCTGCAGGCCTCACCGGTCCCACCTTAGCAACCTCCGTGTTGCTGTCTTGCAGCTCGGCCATCTCGAGCTCACGCAGGCTGTGTTGCAGCTGGAGTTCCTCCAGCCGCTTCTGCCGCAACTCCACCTCGTGGCGCAGAGCGTTCAATTGCTTCACCTTTTCACGCAGTCGGTAGTCGAGGAGCTCCAGGGCCTGCTGCAGGGAGGGGAAGGAGACCAGAGGCCTGAACCTCACCTAGTTTTTCCTTCCTTCCTTCTCCCATATGTTGGCCTTCAACTGCCTTGGCCTCTCCTGCTATCTGATCCACTTCCTCCTGCAGGTTCTCTCTCATGGTTTCCAGGACATGCCCCCCACCCCCAGGTTTTCCATCCACTTCCCTGGCTGCCCCTTTTCAGTCTCCTTTGCCTTTGCAGAGGGCCCCAGGCTCAGACCTTTTGTCCTCTTTCCTCCGTCTACACTCACCTCTTTGGTGACCTGATCAGTTTCATGGATTTAAAGGCTTAGTTGCCTGAGGCATTTGACTGCTAACCAGAAAGCTGGCAGTTCAAACCCACCAGCCACTCCACTGAAGGAAGACTGGGCAATCTACTTCCTTAAAGTATGAGTCAGAATCAACTCAATGGTAATGAGTTTATACACTGGTGGACAGGTTTCAGCAGAGCTTCCAGACTAAGACAGACCTGGAAAAAGGAAAGGGCCATCCACTCTCCAAGAATTGGCCAGTGAGAACCTTATGAATGCAGTGAAACATTTGGTCTGATGTATTACTGGAAACTTTATGAATAGCCCTGAAACTTTGTCTGATACAATGTCGGAGGATGAGCCCCTCAGGTCAAAAGGCACTCAAAATAGGACTGGGGAAGAGCTGCCTCCTCAAATTAGAGTGGACCTTAATGACAGGGATGGAGTAAAGCTTTTGGGACCTCCATTTAACGATGTAGCATGACTCAAAATGGGAAGAAAAAGCTGCAAACATCCATTAATAATCAGAACATAGAATGTATGAAGTATGAATCTAGGAAAATTGGAAGTTGTCAAATATGAAATGGAATGCATAAAGATCAATATCCTAGGCATTAGTGAGCTGAAATGGATGTTTTTGACCATTTTGAATCAGACAACTATATGATCTACTATGCCAGGGAATGACAAATTGAAGAGGAATGGCGTGGCATGCATCATCACAAAGAATGTTTCATGATCTATCCTGAAGTACAATGCTGTCAGTGAGAGGATAATATCCATACACCTACAAAGAAAACCAGTTAGTACTACTATTATTCAACCACCAACCACCAAAGCCAAAGAAAAGGAAATTAAGATTTTTACCAACTTCTGCAGTCTGAAATTGACCAAACATGCAATCAAGCTATGTTGATTATTACTGGTGATTAGAATGCAAAAGTTGGAAACAAAGAGGAATCACCAGTAGTTAGAAAATACGGCCTTGAGGATGGAGCAGCTCCATCATCATGAAGGAAGAAGTTGAAGCTGCACTGAAGGAATTGGTGAAGAACAAGGCTCCAGGAATTGACAGAATACCCAGGGAGATGTTTCAACAAATGGATACCATGCACTGATCATAACAAATTATGAATAAACATTGCAAAGAACAGGAACTCCAGAACACTTAACTGTGCTCATAAGGAACCCGTATGTAGACAAGGAGGGTGTCTGTCAAACAGAACAAGGGGACACTGAATGGTTTAAAATCAAGAAGGGAGCGCTCAGGGTTGTATCCTTTCCCCATACTTATCTTCAGCCAAAACAAGACCACGAGCTGACTGTGGAACAGACCATCAACTGCTCATATGCAAGTTCAAGTTGAAGCTGAAAACAAAACAAGTCTACAACAGCCAAAATATGATCTTGATTATATCTCTTCTCCTGAGGTTAGAGACCATCTAAAGAATAAATGTGATGCATTGAACACCAATGACCAAAAACCAGAGGAATTGTGGGGTGACATCAAAAACATCATCCATGAAGAAAGCCAAAGGTCATTAAAAAGACAGGAAAGGAAGAAAAGACCACAATGGATGTCAGAGGAGACTCTAAAACTTGACCTTCAATGGAGAGTAGCTAAAGCAAATGGACGAAATGACAAGATAAAAGAGCTGAACAGAAGATTTCAAAGAGCAGCTTGAGAAGACAAAGTCAAATATTATAATGAAATGTGCAAAGTCCTGGAGTTAGAAAACCAAAAGGGAAGAACATGCTCATCATTTCTTAAGCTGAAAGAACTGAAGAAAAAAAATTCAAGCCTCGAGTTGCAAGATTGAAAGATTCTATGGGCAAGATATCAAATGATGCAGAAAACATCAAAAGAAAATGGAAGGAATACACAGAGTCACTGTTCCAAAAAGAACTGGTTGATGTTCATCCATTTCAGAAGGTGGCATATGATCAAGAACCAATGGTATTGAAGGAAGAAGTTGAAGCTGCACTGAAGGAATTGGTGAAGAACAAGGTTCTAGGAATTGACAGAATACCCAGTGAGATGTTTCAACAAATGGTTGCCATGCACTCACTTGCCTACGCTGAGATTTGGAAGACAGCTACCTGGCCAACTGACTGGAAGAGATACATATTTGTACCTATTCCAAAGAAAGGTGATCCCACAGAATGTGAAAACTATCGAACAATATCATTGATAGCTCATTGTAAGTAAAACCTTACTGAAGATAATTCAAAAATGGTTGCAGCAGTATATTGATAAGAGAACTTCTAGAAATGCAAGCTGGATTCACAAGAGGATGTGGAACAAGGGATATCATTGCTGATGTTAGATGGATCTTGGCTGAAAGCAAAGAATACCAGAAAGATGTTTACTTGTGTTTTATTGATTATGCAAAAGCATTCAATTGTGTGAATCATAACAAATAATGAATAACATTGAAAAGAACGGGAACTCCACAACACTTAATTGTGCTCATAAGAAACCCGTATGTAGACAAGGAGGGTGTCTGTCAAACAGAACAAGTGGACACTGAATGGTTTAAAATCAAGAAGGGAGCGCTCAGGATTGTATCCTTTCCCCACACTTATTCAATCTGTATACTGAGCAAATAATCCGAGAAGCTGGACTATTCAAAGAAGAGCGTGGCATCAGGATTGGAGGAAGATTCACGAACAACTTGTGATAGGCAGACGACACAACTTTGCTTGTTGAAAGTGAGGATGACATGAAGCACTTACTGATGAAGATTAAAGACTACAGTCTGCAGTATGGATTACATCTCAACATACAGAAAATGAAAACTCTCACAAATAAACCAATAAGCAGCATCATGATAAATGGGGAAAAGACTCAAGTTGTCAAAGATTTCATCTTACTTGGTTCCACAATCAAAACCTATGAAAGCAGCAGTCAAGACATTAGACGATGTATTGCACTGGGCAAATCTGCTGCAAAAGACCTCTTTAAAGTGCTGAAGAGCAAAGATGTCTCTCTGAAGACTAAGGTATGCCTAACCCAAGCCATGGTATTTTCAGTCACCTCGTATGTATGTAAGAGCTGGACAATGAATAAAGAAGACTGAAGAAGAGTTGACGCTTCTGAGTTGGGGTGTTGGCAAAGAATACTGAAAGTACCATGGACTTCCAGAAGAACTAACAAATCTGTCCTGAAGAAGTGCAGCTGGAATGCTCCCTGGATGTGAGAAAGGCCAGACTTCGTCTCACTTACTTTGGTCATGTTGTCAGAAGGGACCATTCCTTGGAGAAGGATGTCATGCTTGGTGAAGTGGAGGGTCAATGAAAAAGAAGAAGGTCCTCAACAAGATGGATTGACATAATGGCTACAATGATGGGCTCAGGTATAGCAAGGATTGTGAGGCTGGCATAGGACCAGGCAGTGTTTTTTCTGTTGTACACATGGTTGCTATGAGTCAGAGCATTCCAGACATCTCCAGAGGGACCTCAACATCACTGTGCCCAAAACTGACCTCCTGGTCATCCCCAACCCTGTCCTTCTCATACCTTCCTTATCCCAGCTCATGGCAGCTCCATCCTTCTAGGTGTTCAAGCCCAACATCTTGAAGTCATCCTTGACTTCTCTCCTTCTATCCCACCTACATCCAACTTGTCAGCAATTCTCTGTGTTCTACCTCAAATGTTTCCCACATAGAAATCTCTTTCTATCTCCATCACTTTTATCCTAGTGTTGCTGATGTCGTCATTCACTTGGACGACCCCCTCCTGGCCTTCCTTCTTGCCTCCTCACTGTCCATTTTCCATGTCTCTGTTTCGTAGTATAAAATTGCAACTCCTTATCATTGCCGGGCCCACCTCCCTTTTTGACTTCCCCTCTTCCCATACCTCCTCACTCTGCTCCAGCCACATTGGCCTCCTCTTGTGTCTCCAACACTCTAAGCTTATTCCTGCCTCAGAGACTTTGCACTTGCTGTTCCCTCTGCCTGGAGTGCTCTTGCCCAGATCTTTTCCTGGCTGGCCCCATTCTCAGATCAACCTTCTTTAGAGAGAGAATGTCTTTTGCTGACCTCCATCCAATCTAAAGTGCACATCTCTGCCCCTCCAGTCCCTCTCTAGCACATCACCTTGCTTTGTTTTGTTCATTTATCTTGTCCTTACTGGAAACTACCTTGTGTCCACATTTGTTACTTTTGTTTTTCTGTGTTTCCCCCATTCTGATATGAGCTCTTAGGGAGTGGAGACTAGGCCTGTTTTGTTCACTGGGGTTCCTTGACACCTGATTCCATGCCATGCAATATTAATTTCACTGAGTGAATAAATAAATGGTGGCTGATGTGGAGGAAAGATTGTAGAGAGTGAAAGTGGAGACAGGAAGTGCAGTGAGGAGGCTGGGTGGGGACCTGGTTGTAGGTGGGGGTGGGGCACGGTTGATCAGAGAGAGCAAACCTGGCCTGTTCTGTTCTTCAGGTACGGCTTCTCTGACTTCCATTCCCGAATCACTGTCTGGACCACTTTCTCATCTTCCTGCAGGGAGAGGAGCCTGGTCACCCCTTATTCAGGTCCCTCCACCAAGGCAGTGCCTGTCCCCCGCCCCCCCAGGTCCCCTCCACCTGTCTCTGCCCTCGAACCTGGAGCAGTTTTGCCAGCTGTATTTGCAGTGCCTTGATCTCCTCTCTGAGCTGGTTGATGGTCTCCTGGTTCTTCTTGATGTTCCACTGGGAGCTCTCATAAAACGCCTTCCGGTCGCCCTCTGGGGGCAGTTGAGGTGGGCAGGCACAAGCAGAGCATCATTGCAGGGGGCAGGGGAAGCTTCCCAGAGGGAAGAGCTTTATGTAATCATCAACTTAATGTTACAAGAATACCTCCCTTTGAGCTTTTTATTATGTGTTGGATGTCAGACTAAGAACTTTATAAACCAAGCCAAACTCCCTGCCATAGAGGTGATTCCAACTCATAATGACCCCCATTGAGTTTCCAAGAGTGTTACTGCAGACTATCTCACCTGCAGCTGGGGGCTTCCAACCACCAGCTTTCTGGTTAGCAACCAAATGCCTTAACCACTACACCACCTGTGTTCCTTAAAAGCTTTATAGGTATCACTTTGTCATTGCCCAACAGGTGCCATTATTATTATTCCAATTCTACAGATGAGAAAACTGAGGCTCAGGGAGGCTGATCCAATTGTTCAAGGTCACAGGTAGTCTCATTCCTGAGCCCACAACTTCAACCACTATGCGAGATTACCTCTAGATGATAATAAAAACAGTAATAACAATGGTGGTTTTCACCAGGATTTTCCAGCTTTAGCAAGATGACATTTGGAATGGATAACTTTTTTTTGGAGGGGGGCCTTCCCAGTGCATTACAATGGATCCCTGGCCTCTACCCACTAGATGCCAGTGACACTACCATCCCCACCCCCACCCCTGCCAAATGTGACAACCAAAAATGTCTCCAGAAATTGTCAGTGGTCCCCTGGGGGGCACCCCCCTTCTGTGAGGAACCACTAGTTTATACTTCTATAGTGTACCGCTACGTGCCAGGCAGTGTTCTAAACACTTCACAAGTGTCAGCATCCTATGGGAGAAGCCCTTCAACGAGATGGATTAACATGGTGACTGCAACAGTAGGCTCAAACATAGCAACGATTGGGAGGATGATGCAGGACTGGGCAGTGTTTCGTTTTGTTGTACATAAGGTCACTATGAGTTGGAATTGACTCAGCAGCACCTAACAATAACCATGTGGGGTTGTATGGTTTCTACTTGCATTTTACAGATGGAGAAACACAGCAATTCTGTTACTCTTAGTTCTCTAAGGTCAGACAACTAGTACATACAGAGCTAAGATCTGAATTTAGAAAGTCTGCTCTGGAACCCAAACTCTTAACAATCCCATCCATGATATTGTTGTTAGCTGCCTTTGAGTCAGCCCCTGGCTCATGGTGACCAGTGCACAATGGGATCAAATTCTTGTGCTCCATAGATCTTTCATTGGTTGATTTTTGGAAGTAGATTGTCAGGCTTTTTTTTTCCCAGTCTTTGGTTGGAAGCTCCCTTGAAATGTGTTCAGAATCATAGCAACGTGCAAGTGTTTACTGACAGATGGGTGACACGGCTGCTCTTGAGGTGCATTGGAATCAATCCCAGATCTCCTCCATGGAAGAGGAGAATTCTACCACTGAACCACCACTGTCTTCTCTACACATGATACTAAAACCAACTCACTGCTGTCGAGTCGATGCCGACTCCCTATAGGGAGAGAAGAACTGTCCCATAAGTTGTAATCATTACAGAAGCAGACTGCCACATCTTTCTCCTGTGAGTGGCTGGTGGCTTCCAACCGCTGACCTTTCGGTTAGCAACCTGAGTACTTAACCACTGTGCCACCAGGGCTCCTTCCATGCATGCTGTTGTTGTGAAGTGATGTCGATTCGGTTCCAACTCATAGTGACTCTATGTACAACAGAACGAAACACTACCTGGTCCTGTGCCATCCTCACTATTGTTGCCATACCCATCATCACAGCCACCATGTCAATCTATCTCCTTGAGGGCATCCCACGCATGAGCCCAGGAGAAGTTTTAAGAGAGGGAAACCATGAGCGGGTATGAATTTTCGCTTCTAGCAACTGACCACCTGGTCCAATGGCAGTGAGATGCACTGGTCCTACCATGCCTAGTCAGAGACCTAGGTGGACAATGTTGACCCCTGGCCCTTCTGTGCCCTCCGCAGCCATCTTACCTAAGAGTTGTATCTTCCTTTGTAACTCAGCCACCTGTGTGTGCACAGAGGGCTTCACTCCGCTAGCGGGGCGGGATCCCGACTTGGAGTGGGCCGGGTACCAGGCCTGGGCAGCACCCTTGCCTCGGGGGTGGCCGCCCTTAGCCTGAACCTGACTGCCTTTGACCTTGGAGGAAGGCGTGGAAACTTGGTCCTGAGCAGTCAGAACGTTCGCGGAGGCCGCTCTGCATAGAGGAGATGCCATGATTAGGTTGGAGCCGAGAGTCTTTAGGGGTTAGGAGGCGACTAGGAGTTGTTCGGGTCCAGGATCCAGTTCGTGTTCCTCGGGCTCTGGGAATGCACTTTCCGACAGCTTGGCAGGACCTCTGAGCATATCCCGGTTGCTCGGTAACTGCCTCCCCTCCTCCCGCCAAAGCACTCCCAACGAAAGCGCCCGCATTCCTCGCCGCCACCATTGGCTGACGCTGCACAGAGGGGGCGGTCCCCAACCCGGAGCCGGGTAGAGCGGCGCAGCACGACGGTGGGGGAGGGTACTTTGGTATCACGTGTTCATTTTATTTCCCTTGCCAAGGCTTTTCGGGCATTTTGCAGAAATTTTTTTTTCTGCGGCAGAAGGCGCCACTCTCAAGATGGAGGCACCTGGCGCCGCCATTAAGCGCAAGGCCTCAGAGCTATCTTTCTAAAGCTTCACAGTCCTACCCAAGATGGCCGTCTGGGTTCGAGCGCCCCCGCATTCCACTCCCAACATGGCTACTTAGAGCTACCGCTCCGGGCGAGCGGCATGGGACCGGAAGTGACGCGTCCTAGACTTTTCCTCTTTTCTTTCTGCAGCAGGAACTGGGGCTGCTGGGCCAGAGGGGCGCGGTGGATATTGACCTTTGGCCTCGGCTTCGAGTAAGTGATGACTTAGCGGGCACTTGGTCACCCCTGTTTCCTCTAGGGGGCAGCCGGAGGGAGTGTATGTTGCGGGGGAGACTATTAACCCCTTAGGCTTGTTGGCGGGAACTGGATAGCACGCTTCCCCGTACCGGGAACAGAGGTTTTGAGATTCCTACCATTGATTTGAGCAGAGTGACACTTTCCTCCCTGTCCTGCAGGAAACAAAATGAGTTCCCATTGCCCATAGGCGATAGAAAAGTTCCTTTGGCTGGAACTGGCCCCCTTTCGACCGACTAGTCCTTTAATTGACGCAGCTTGAGGGAAAGGGAATCTCCCCCCATAGCCGCCTTCCTCCTACAGAACCTGTTTCCGGCGAGATGTTGCTGCTTCCGATGCTGCTGCTGCTGCCCTTATGCTTGGCTGTGGAGGTCAAGCGACCCCGCGGCGTCTCCCTCTCCAGTGAGTACCCCTGTTCACCGACCCACCAGGCTGGGGGTGGGGGGGGCGTAGGAGGGCCGACCTTTGCACCTGTGATAGGTACTTACAGCCGTTTGCCTGGTTTTCCAATCTCTGGTAGTGCTCAGCTAGTGGGTGGGGGGCGGAGATGGTATTCTGTTAAGGGGGTCTGGGCTGAGTGCTTTTCCCTCCTCCCTAGACCATCACTTCTACGACGAGTCTAAGCCTTTCACTTGCCTGGATGGCTCGGCCACCATCCCTTTTGATCAGGTCAATGACGATTACTGTGACTGCAAGGATGGCTCAGACGAGCCAGGTGAGCTTTTTGTCCATTCATTCCTCTTGCATTTCTTGGCAGCCCCTGAGGGCCAGTGACCGAACCTGCCTTTACATGGCTCCCTGTTGAAGTAGGGGAAAGCAGGTCCAGAAATGTGTGGTCAGTGTTATGGGGAGGGAACCACAGAGGCCCGCACCCAGCCTGGGGGGTCAGGAAAGGCTTCTTGGGGGAATCCCGGAGGGTGCTGCAGATGAAGGGGCCAGCATGTGCAAACACCCAGAGGTGGGAGAGAGCGTGGGGCAGAAGGCAGCCTGGCCAGAGACCAGGGATGAGGGTGGCAGAGCCCTGTTTTGAGGGGCCTCAGTGAGGACATGCTGGGGAGGCTGCAGGAAAAGTTTGGTTTCAGGCCCTGAATGTGGGTGGCAGTTCTGTCTGTGGATGGGTGGGACTTACCTGGTCCTGAGCAGACTCAGCCGGTCTCACCTCCCTTCTTCACAGGCACGGCTGCCTGTCCTAACGGCAGCTTCCACTGCACCAACACTGGCTACAAGCCCCTTTACATCCCCTCCAGTCGGGTCAATGATGGAGTTTGTGGTGAGTGAGTGTGTCCTAGGCCTGTGGGAGGAGGCAGCGGGTGCAAAGAGAGGGGTCACTGCCAGGTCTGATGGCAGTCTGCTTCTGCCTTCAGACTGCTGTGACGGCACAGAGGAGTACAATAGTGGCATCGTCTGCGAGAACACTTGCAAGTACGTGGGTGACCCCCCTACCTTGCCCCTCTTCTGCTGCTCCCCCACACACCATGAATCAGGCCCCTTCTCTTTTCTGCTTTTGTGTATTGGGTACTTAACTCTGTGCCAGGCTTCTTGTGAGCCCAGCATCACTGGCTTGCCCTCTGGCCTGGGAGCAGGTGCAATCCTTTCCCTATTCAATGGTTGAGAACACTGAACTTCAGGGTCATGTAACTGGGAGCTAGCAGAGGCAGGATTCGAACCCAGATCAGTCTTACTTCAGAGTCAGCATTTTCAATTGCCCTGCAGCAAAGCCTGAAAACATAAATGCACATAGGCAAGTAATCTAAAGAGCAGAAGTGGGCTCAGTATAAGGTAGTCAGAAATGATGAGGATTGTGACATCTGAAGGACAGTTGTCCTCTCCTATTGTCATGGGATGGCAGGCTGAATTAGTTCTCAAAGGAGAGAGTCCTACTAAACCCTTTTGATTACAAATCTTCTAAGTGGAGAGTGGATTGAACACAACCTCCATGTCCTACTCTCTCAGCCCTTCCCAGTGTGAGGGGCAAGGTGCACTGAGCCCTTTCGGAAGAGGCAGACCTGGTGGGCCCTGAGTGCCCCCTAGTGGTGGCCTGTGTGTCCCCCACCCTCAGAGAGAAGGGCCGTCAGGAGAGGGAGACTCTGCAGCAGATGGCGGAGGTCACCCGCGAGGGCTTCCGCTTGAAGAAGATCCTCATTGAGGACTGGAAGAAGGCCCGGGAGGAGAAGCAGGTGAGGGGTCCCCTGAGGCTGCCCCCCATGGGTCCAGGCCTCCTGGCCTGGAGTCATGGGCTGGCCAGGCAGGCAGAGTCAGGTGGGGTTTACACCTGCCCCTGATGAGTGGTGTCCTGGGGCAAGTTACTGCTTGTCTGCGCCTTGGTCTGCTCATTTGTCCATTGGGGGTTTAGTCATTGGTTCCACAGTTACCAGATGGGAGTAGTCAGCACACATGTTGAGAGCAGAGCCTTGGGCATCAGACTAAACCGGGCTGTAAAGGAGCTCTGGACCTCCTAGAGACAGGAGGGACACCTCTGCAACCTGGTCGCTTATATGTAACATGGGCCTGATGACTGGATGGCTGCCCAGTTTCAGGGGAGGACTCAGCAAGGTGACATTGAGTCGATAAGGGTGGGTACTTGAGGGGGGCCCAAAGAGGATGTGTCCCCAGGTGTGTCTCCTCTTGCCTTACCTGCCACCCCCTGGTCTGTCTGATGGGTCACAGTCCTCATGATTGCCTCTGGGCCTCTGCTGACCCACTGCTCTTTCTCCCAGGGACGATTCCAGGTGTCTCTCTCCCACCCCAAGCTTCCTTCCAAGTTCAGGGAACAGTTGGGAAGCCATGTTGGAAGGTCAGCTCTAGAGGCCTTTGCCCTCCTGAGGAGGCAGGAGGACCCTGACAGGAAGCCAGGCGAGGTGATGGCCAGGATCTTGGGAGGCGAACAATCCCCTGGCTGAGTGACCTGGCTTGGACTAAGACCCTAGCAGCTTGGGGGCTCCATGCTGAGGCCTGCCTACTACACTCATTCCTTGGTGAATATATCCACAAAGGCCTAGAATGTATCACGCACTGGGCAGGAGGCTGGAACCAGACCTAGACCTGCCTCAGGGGTCCATTCTCTAGTGAGATGAACAGACGGACCGGGACAGCCAAGGCTGCTGGGAGAAGGGACACACTCAGGAGTAAGAGACATAGAGGATGCTCTTGCCCTCCATTTCCTACCCCTCCTTTCTGGGGGTAGGTGGTAGAGAAGGCTTTCTGGAAGAGAAGGCTTCTATCTAAGCTGGAATCTATGGGGTAGTTTAGAGTTAGCCAAGGGGAGCGTTCCAGGCAGAAGGAGCAGCACGTACAGAGAACTGGAGGCAGGATGTTTGGGGGTCTGAATGTTGTGCAGGACAGTTGGCGCCTAGTTTGAGATAGAGATGGGGCAGTTGGGGCCAGAGGGGTAGGTAAGGCCTTGTGGGCTGCATTGAGGTGTTGGGGCTTCTCTCCACAGGGCTGTGGGGACCATAGCAAGGGGAGAGACCCAGGGAGGTGTGTTTTGGAAAGATCCTCCTGGCTGTCCTGTGCAATGGAGGCTGGGAGGTGGTAAGTGCTGAGGAAGCAGAGTTGAAGGAGAGCTGGGCTCTTGCCTTCTTTCTGCCCAGAAAAAGCTCATTGAGCTACAGGAGGGGAAGAAGTCCCTGGAGGACCAGGTGGAGATGCTACGGACAGTGAAGGAGGAGGCTGAGAAGCCAGAGAAGGAGGCCAAGGAACAGCACCGGAAGCTGTGGGAAGGTATGGCGTGGGGCAGCTGGGCTACTCACCGTCTGCTCGTGGGCGGGAGGAGGCCTGGGCCCAGGAGATTCTTGCTTATTATCTGTTGTTTGTTGTTGCAACTGGATGTTTAACAGTTAATTTTTAATTGTTTTGTTGTGATGGGTGAAAGTTTATAGAGCAGATTGGTTTTCCATTCAACAATCCATGCACATTCTATTTTGTGACATTTACTGCAATCTCCACACTGTAACAGAGTTCTTCCCACTTCCTGCCTGTACCCACGCCTTCCCTTCATCTTTCCTTCACATCTCCTTCCGCTTTCCTAGCTCTGTTCCTGGGCAAATGCTGTCTGTACTCTTGCCCTCCTATGCTTGATTGTTGTAATGAGAGCATATCATCCTGGTATTATTATTTACCTTACAGACATATTTATTGTTTGATTGACCGTTGAGTCATGGTGCTTAAGTTCAGTTCCTGGCTTGAAGGGTATCTAAGGGCCATAGTCTTGGGTGTTCTACTAGTCTTCATCAGACCAGTAAACCTGGCCATTTTGATGATCTTGAGTTTTGTTCCACATTTTCCCCCACTCTGTCTGGGACGCCTTGTTGGGATCCCTTTCAGAGTGGTCAGCGGTGGAAGCAGGGCACCATCTAGTTCTTCTAGTCTCAGGGTGGTGGAGGCAGAGGTTCACGTGCTCTGTCGGTCCTTTGGACTAAGTGTTTCCTGTGTCCTTGGTTTTCTTCACTCTTCTTTGCTCTGGACTGGGAGAGATCAATAGTTGCACCTTTGATGGCCACTCACAAGCCTTTAAGACCCAGTCACCGCTCATCAAAGTCAGATGTCGAGTATTGTCTTTGTGGACGGTGTTATGCCAGTTGACTTCCGTGTCTCCAGTACTATAGTCCTGAGCATCCATACAGTGACTCATTCCCACAAGGTGTTGGGTCATGACCGAGGTGCTTCCTAACTTTGTCCTCTCTGTGCTCTGCCACGTTCGTGGATGCATTTGCAGCATATGTAAATACGTAGGTAGAGATAACCATCTGTCAAACCTGTGTACATTTGTGGGTGTGATGCCATTTGCCTTCCCGCCCCGTTCAGATTGAGTGTCTATCTAGGTATCTACTTGTAAATTACTGTTATTACTATTATTGCAGGATTATGTAGGTAATTATATTCACCTGTGTTGCCTTCAACTGTTGTGCACCTCCCTGTCTTCCACTGCCTCGATCATTGTGTGGTCACCTCCCCCTTACTGCCTGTTGCCTTTCCCTTCACCCAAGTTACTATGGGTCTACCCTCTAGTTGGTGACTGT